CCGTTCAGCCGCAGCACTGCACTGTACTCGCAGCCTGATACGCAGTATGGTAGCGCAAAAAGATTCTGTGTGTTGCAGTTACACCTGAAAATGTTCAGCGCAAAACTGTTCTGTGGTCAGTGTAGGCATGTGTAGCGTACTACTTAATAGCTGTTTCCTAAGATACACAAAAGGAAAAGCGCAGGTGTGAAGAATAAAGAAAAGAGGGCTGAATCCCATTTAGCCGCTTCAGTTTCAGCTCAACCCAGTCGCCTGAAAAAAAAAAAAGTTGGAATGTTGATATTAGCCTCCTATAACACCATCAGAAACATACAATGCCACGTGCTTAAGTTGGTTCAATGACTGGTCAGGTTTAAGAAACAAAATTAGGCTGAGGTTAGAAAAAAAGATTATGATTTGTGTTAAAACGATAATGTAACGAGGTCACGTGACAACTGTAAGCACAGTAACTAGTGTCGTTTGTAACGTTACATAACAAACGTCATGGAACAAACAAAGTCAACGCTTTTTGACTTTTTTTCCTGGGGTCTGTTCAGGCTCACCATCACGCTGTCAGGGCTTACTGGGACACTTGAATAGAACAGAGCCATTAATGCTTTTAGAAACACTTGCCCTTTCACGTTATGACAAGTTCAAATGTCTGCTGTGAAAAAAAGGACTATTGTACAATTCCCGACCAGCGAGAAAAGGTTGGGAGAATAGCTGGAAGGGAATGAATCATTACAACAAAGAGACCCGTCTGACCCAACCAGGAATATCATTTTTGTTTCAGTCATTGTTTAAGTTACATTATATAGAAATGGACAGTAACAGACATACTATTAAAATCACCTCACAGAATGAGAATCGAGAATGTGTAAAGAAAATATTTCTAAGAAGACAAACGACAAAACGTCTGTTTGTTCTTTGAAGCTGACAAGACAAATGTGTAGGTTGGAAAGTCATTTTTGTAGGAGGCATACAGTGTAAATACACACCAAATTAAAACTGTAAACTTTGATAGCAAATCAACAAAACAAAACAACAACTAGAGAAGAAATGCAATTATTCCATTTCCCTTATGTAAAGAAGCACATAAGACAACACGCTGAGGGGTTTTAGCGAGAAGAATACCCTGTGGAATTTCATGCAGCAACACATTAACATTTCCTGTTATGTGCTTCTATAAATGACTGAAATGTGATAATTGTATCAAGTCACTGTTCCATGAAACTTTAGATGTGCTGCACAAATCTGTTGTGTGTTGTCAGATGTTCACACACTGTACTGTAGTTTTCTGACCATTTACTCTTTTTTTTTTTTTTTTAAGCTGATGGCTGAATAAAAAAAGAATATCCTGTACCTGGGTCTTTATGCCAGAGAATTACACTTTCTTGCTTCAATAACAATTTGCAGGAAAGTGTTGCCTATTAGAAATAATGGGAGTTCTCATATTAGTACAGGCACAGAGCCCACTTGCAGCTCTTCATCCCTCACGGCACCAACCTGCCCCATCTCAGAGACATTCAGACATGCAGTCTCATTTCAAATGTTTGTCATAGCCCGCACAGGAGTTATTACCTGTTAGGCTAATGACAGCATCACACCAACATCACGCAGTGTGACCATGGAGTGTTTTATCTCACTTCATTCTATTAAAGGCTTTGGTGAGGATAGTGCCTGTACTATAAGGTGGAGAAGCTCAATTCAAACACATCCATCCACCCATATTTCCCCCTTCACAGATTCTCTGATATGTTGAGTATGTTGCAGAACATTTTTAGCCACGGCAACACTGGCGTGCCAGATGGATTACCACAGCATTGTGTACAGACACTCATGTTACATACTTGAGGCTATCTGCCACCACCAGATTGAGATTGAAAAATAGCCCACTTTCATCAAATCTTTGCGCAAGAAAAATGCTCTACATTGGTGGTTCGTCTCTAATCTCTAATCTCCAGCTAACCAGTCATGCAAACTCAAACCTTGCTTGTCTTATCCCTCTAGTCCTCTGTCTTACCGTTTCATCTTCAAAACTTTGACAATGAGTAGAAAGTGGGCTGCTCTCTCTGCTCTCTGCTGCCAGTGCCTATAGGCTCACTAGGCTGAGATGATTGACTGGTAACAGCACCAAATTAATAATTTGTCATGTTAGAATTGGCTGCATCCGCCTCAAGGGCCTTCTTTTCTCTTCTTTTTATTTTTTTTGATTGTCGGTCTCCACTCCACTGTTTCTCCAAATGTCTCAGGAAAGGGTCCATGTAAAGTTAGAATGGACTGGACCAAAAGTGCTTGGCTGACAGATGTAATACCCTACCACAGTGGGCAGACAGCACTTGGTTATTTTTATTTAAAAATATGTATATTTTGCATTGTATTGGCCCAAATTACCAAGGGGCCCATCGGGAAAACTCCGGGTGCTCCAGATGGCCAGTCAGTTTGTCCAATACTTTAGTTTATGACTAAATACCTGCAAAGCTATTGCCATTCTCATCAGCCTCAGCTGTCCTTAGCGTTTAGTGCTATTTAGAAAATGATAGCATAAATAATGCAAAACTTAGACCTGTTCATCAGCTGCTGACATTGCTGTAGACTCGTTGAACATCTCCTCACATAAATATTTAATCCAACGTTTACCAAATTTGGTAATATTTCACTTAATCACTTAATTATTTCAGTTATTCAGTTGTTTTTTTTATACAACACCCTTTAGGTTGCTAAATGCTTGTGGTTATAGCTAAGTTGCCATTATGTTTAAATCGGTAGAGCGTCGACTAATACGACGGCTAAGGTAGCTCAGAAATTAGCGATATGGCATGGGGCCCTGAATTTAATGGATTTACGGTTTATCGGACCCTAATTGATACACGAATTAGACCCTGCGGTCTTTCTGCCCCGCCGTTGGGAGACTAGTTTGCCGGAAGGAGAGCAGGCGTCTGCTTCGGAGACGGACCATTGCTGCTGTAGCAACTTGAATTCAGCTAGCATGGAGTGCAACGTTAGCATGGAAACATGGTGGAATTGGCGAGTTAATGTGAGCTAGCTAACAAGCTACCTGCTAAATACAATAAAAGACAACTTTATTTACACTCTTTTCACAGTGTAGGAAAGCACCTCGCTATGGCCAAACAATCATTTACATAGTCATTAACACTGATTCACCACATTTTGTAATGAGCTTAATGTACTGTCCACAGAAAGGAGAGAACAGGGTTTGCTGTGCTGTGATTGTAATGCTACAAAGTGGTTACAAAAAAAATAAAAAACGCTGTGGAGTGAGGCGAGGAGGGGGGGGGGGGGGGGTCTGATTAGAAGACGATCAGAATTAGCCTTGCAATATCAGGGCTGATTTAAAACTTAATGTTTTTGAGGGAATAGATGGACTGTCGCGGCTGTAGCAACTCGATTTTGGCCAGCGCGAACCCGAGCATCTCCGTCTCTTAGCGGCAGGGACCCAGTGCTGTCGCTGGCAACCAGTGCTCATTTTCAACCATGAAATGCCATTTTATATATATGTGGAAAGAAATATCGGTGACATCATTTAGTTCATAGCTTCGTGTGCGGTTACTCTTCAATGTTCAGAGTGTTAAAAACAGCTCCATTGTGCTAAGGCCCATAATTCCATGTATATCCTTAGTATTCTGCAACATTCTGCACTATTAGCACTGTTTTTATTTTGATGCAGATTGACATAATATATAATGATATTATTTTTTACCACTTTGGGGCCGCAGGAACAATAGCAAACAGCTGCCTCTTTACACACCCAGCAGACACAGAGCAACGCTGCTCTTTTCACAGCAGACATTGTCACTCGTCATGTTGAGAAAAGCACAGGTGTAGATAATACAATTGATGATGCCTGAGTGCTTTTGTGCATGCTGGCTCACTGTTACTCTTTTGGGGCCTACTCTGACACACTTCACAGAACAGAGCCACGGTTTATGTTATTGTCTTCAATAAAAAGTAATGTTTCTGGTCAAACAACCCACAGTCAGTCCAATAGTCACTCTCCCGTTTGCTCTGTTTATGTACACCAGCCTTTGAAAGAAATATCTTTCTCTTTTGCCACTAAATGCTCCATTTGAGTTCACCAGCTAGTCGCTGACTTGGTCTGCCGTTTGGTGCTGGTCACTGAAAGCTACCCCTCTAAATCAACACACAGTCATTTGATCCATTATTACAATAAAATATTGTTTATAGCAGCTTCAAATGACCAACTTTAGAATTTAAAAGTTTGAGGATTGTTGTCAGAGTTGTGCTCTCTCTTGCAGATTCATTAATTCCATGGTCTTGACTGCAGCCTCTTTGAGCGTTTGAGCATGTTGCGTTTGTGAAGGGAGAGCCTGAGACTGGCCCCCTGGGGGATCCTGCTGTGAGCAAGTGGGGAATGACAGGTTCCTGTCTGGTGTTCGCCAGCCTCTAACGTCTCTGTCCGGTCATCCAGAAGAAAACCAACATGCAGCACGTCCTGTACTGTAAAGTGACGGGGACAGGGACACAGAGAGGAGTGATAGAAAGGGGGGGGGGGGGGGGGGGGGGGGGGGGGGGGGGGGGTGTTCTGTTCCCTGTCTGGGTTCCTGCACGGGTCAGTGCATCTCACACGTGAATGCACACCTGACACATATGTGCCAGGTCTCGCTTTTTTTCTTGGGTTTTCACTATCTTTCCTTTATTTAATGTGTTCAAGAATTGGTGATTTGTTATTATTCTTATTAGACAATATCTTTTACATCTTATCTTATCTTCTGTCCTACACTCTTAGACATAAAAGTGCTAACTAGAACCATATAGGGTTCTTCAGCTTGTCCTCGAGAAATGTGAAATGTGTGGGCTGGCCGTTGGTCGTTCCCTTTTAACACTCGTGCTTTCAACAATCCTTGAAGAACTCTTGCTTCCAAAAAGGGTTCTTCCGAAGCAAATGATTCCGAAAGAACCCATTCTGGACCATTTTTTTTTAGAGTGTATGTTATACCTCTTTCTCCCTTGACCTGTCCTCGCTCTACCTCTCCCTGGAGGATGCTTTTGAAGTGCTGGCGGAGAACTACGAATTCAACGAGCTCGAGGGTCCGTGCCTGGCCTTCAGGAGAGCTGCGTCCGTGCTGAAGAGTCTGCCCTGGGCAGTGCGGCGCCTGGGGGAAACACAGGACCTGCCCTGCCTGGGAGAACACGCTAAGGCAGTCATGGAGGTAAGGCCCAGAGTCTGCATGCGGAGCCCAGTCTAATCCATCTGTATTATGTGTTGAGACTAGCGGTCGCACGAAACCACAGTGGTTTATTTGGGCAGCCTACAAGTTTGTTTTTCCGACAACATAGCTTGTGAATCCAAAGGCTCTGAAATGTCCAAACAAGGAGAGTATTTTGGATCAGTCTGCGTGCGTGTAAACAATAGATAATCAAGAATAGTCTCTTGACCTTAATTTTCATACTCTTGTGAAATGATCTAAAATCGGACGCTGCCATAGAAAGTGTGCAACAATACTGAGAGAAATGACTAAGACCAGTATTAGTTAGTATTAGTATCAGTTAAAGATATTATGCACTTGAGGATCTCAACGTTGTGTTCCTGTCGGAGAGGGTGGCAGTAATAGTCTGCTTGGATTCACAGCAAGTAACTGTGGTGACCAAGAGTCCCAGTAGAAATGTGTCAAAACATATCAACTTCAGTGTGTTCTCAAATTGTTTTTATATTGACGATGTTCTCTCAGGCTGGCTATAACCAATTTGAAACGACTCATCATCAGCCGACTCATCGGGAGCATTTCACATTTAGATGTCATGAGAGATTTGAGAAAAGAAAAGAAATGTCAGCTGCTCTCCTTGACCTTGTCTTCTCTTCGCGGAGTGCGTATTTCGGACTTTTTTTCTTCCATCAACCTCTGTGCGGCCTGTGTTGCTGTTGAGAAGAATGCAGCTGAACTTTCTATCTAACAACACCGATCTGCAGAAATACACGTATGCTTTCAGGCGACGCCGAAGTGGAATTTCATCTCGCAAGAACACGTTTGCTGTGAGTTATTGAAGGCTAAAAAAAAAAAGAAAAGAAAAAGAAAAGAAATACGAAAGATATCAAAAGTAGTTTTCAAATTTCAAGTCCTAGACAAGCTCACGTAACACACGCTCACACATGAGCACGCACACTGACAGGCATCAAGCCGATTTATCTCGTCTTTGGGAGAAAAAATAAAAATAAAGATAGTCTTCTCGGGTCACTTGGCAATCATCCCCTCACCTACAGTCGCGCTCAGGGCAGGGAATCACGGCGAGTTGTCAGGGAATGTGTCGAGAAATGTTTGCTCCGAGAGAACGCAGAGTCCCTAGGAGGAACAGGGTGCAGCTCTGCAGGCCAACTCTGACACATTAAACCTTAACAGACACACGGCGGGTCTCAGAGCAAGTTTCAACATCTGTCAAATCTGTCAGCGTTGAGGCAGAGTCATTAAACAAAATAACATAAACGTCCCAGGAGACTAAATTAGACTGCCCGTGAATGACCTCTCCCTGTTGTTCTTACATGATTCAGATGTAGGCTACACCCAGCAGTGAGTTTTTCTTCTTCTTCTACTAGGTTGTCTCTTTGAACAGATCGTGGCTCAAAACAAGAAAAATGACATGACACCAGAAACAAAGTGAAACCAAACAGAGTGAAAACAAAACGCATGACGTGCCTGTGAACATCGGAGTGACACTCTGGTAGCAGCGGCGGCTGAGTTGCTCCGAAGTCGGGGGGGGGGGGGGGGGGGTATATAAACCCACTGACATGAAAGTGTGGGAGCACCGAGGCAGAGTTGGGGAGGAATAGTCAGTACATGTGTGTGTGTGTGTGTGTGTTTCACATTGCTCATGTGAAAAAGTGTGCGCGCACCCCCCTAAAGCAGAGAGTGTGTCGAAGCATTATCCCTACGTCTGAGGGGTTGGCCTTAGCTCGAGGGGTTGAAAAGCAGCGGTGGGCCGGTGGACGCCTCATTGAGCAGCGAAGGCTGCTTTAAAAGTGCACTGCACTCACACTGCGATACACAAGTTCACCGGCCCGGTGATACTAGATGTCACCCCTCCGCGCGCAAGCTTAACATGCGCACAGACGCGTCTTGTAAAACACACATGCTCATTTTCAACGGCAAAACGACTTTTACGGTGGAAGTCGGCTGACATTAACCAGATAACCGCCGCCTCGTTTTTATGCGCCCACGTAAATAGAGGCAGTTAAAAAAATGCGACCGGCAAAATTAGTCGTGCTCTGCTGAGACAATTAAACGCGGGACAAAGTTGTTGCGGAGCAAACCATGGCAGCAAAGGAGGGGAAAGCGTTACCTTGGGCTTTTTTTATGAACGCCATAAAAACCGGTATTAATCCCAGGTTTCACAACAACAAAGTCATTATTTCTTGAAACGAAATGGAAATGAGGACGCGAGGAGCCCCCCCCCCCCCGATTTAAATGGAAACTTTTTTTTACAAATGGGCCATTTGAGGCCATTTGTTAATTGCTCATAGAACGGAAACCGGGGAGAGTATAGTGCACCGATGCTGACACCGAGAGCGTCTTTTCTTAATGATATTATCTGCCTTTTTATATTTTTGCAGGACGTCCTTGAATGTGGCCGCTCATTTGACGTGGAGAAGCTCCTCTCTGATGAGAGGTATCAAACACTTAAGGTCAGTAGACGGGAGAAACAACAACTCCATCCTTAGATTTGCTTCCCTCGATTTTTTGGTGCTTTGAAATTGCTGCGAACAAGATTTGAATTTGCTATCTCTTAAGGACGCAGAGCTCTTCAAAACTTTTGAATGCTCACCCCCTTGAGAAGAGCCTGTCATTTCAGAAAGCATGTCTTCTTGATTACGTCCTTACCTCGTTTCCTGCCAGCTGTTCACAAGTGTGTTTGGGGTTGGACCCAAGACGGCTGACAAGTGGTACCGCAGAGGGCTTCGCTCATTCAGCGACGCTCTGGCAGACCGCAGCGTTCATCTAAACCGGATGCAGCAAACTGGTACATCAACATCTCAGCACTTCCACACTGCCACTCCACAAATTACAGACTGAAAATTACAACTCGAGTTTGCTTCAAAGAGACGGGGGGGGGGGGGGCCCGCGTGTGTCATTTGTGATCTTTTCATTTTTGTGTCCTTTCTTTGGTCCCATAGGAGGCTCCTTATGCGAGGCGCTGGCTGTAAAGTGTTTTTTTCTAAAGCGAGATGAGATGTGACCAGCAGGGAGTTTACAGTGAAAAGACAACGGGGAAAGGCAGCAGGGGTGTTTTTAATAAAAATCAATGAACAGTGACTGCGGAGGGGAACGCTTGCTGTGGAATTCCCATGAGCCCTCATCAATCAGCCCGGCAGAGAGAGAGAGGGCCATCCAAGCAGAGACCGTGAGAGGTCGTTGACTTACAGTGGGAGGGTTATGATTTGTTTCAAATGTTAGAGGTGTTTGTAAAAGGAAGATTTTGTCTCAAATCTCTGTGGGGAATTGTGTAATATTGAGTTTAATCACAGATTGATTTTGGATGAAGGCTTTTGGACAGTTTCCAGAGCAGTGGTAAATGAATCCGGTCATGTTTAAACAACTGCAGCCACGCTAGCGGCTCTGTGAGGCTCAATGTGAAGGAAACCAAACCGTTATACAGATAACAAGCTGAGGTCCAAAACTCGCTTTTTGATCTTTTGAATTATTTGGTCATTAGCAGTCTTAGTCATGTGAATGTAATACTTGTCCAGACGGTGGTGTCAGAATGAAGATCTTTGGCAACCTCCAACAGAAATATGCCTGGTGAGCGGAAAGGTCATCATTTTGAGTCACTCGAGTCGTGAGAGTTCATGATATCATTTCTAGAGATTGAGAAAAATGAGCTTGAGGGATGTAAGAAATATGATATATTTTGAGCCTCATTAGTAGCATGTCCCTGGGAGTGCAATATTGGTCTGTCGGTTAGTCAACCACTTAAGTCCAGACTGAAATATCTCAACAACTATTGGATGGATTGCCATTTTGTACAGACATTCATGGTCTCTTGAGGATTTGGCCTAATTACCTCCCTATAGTTCATCAGCATCAGCGTGTTCATCACTGCTTACCTCGGTTACCTTAGGTTAGCATGTTGTCTAACATTTGCTAATTAGCTAATTAGGCGATGATGATATCATACTGAAGGAATTTGGTCTTAAACCAAAGTGTTAACACGACGCAGTATTTTAACCTGATGACAGCGATAGTTCGCAAGTTTAGAAAGACTGTAAACGTCTGCATCCATCCAATAGTTGTTGAGACGGTCCACTCAATGAACCACAAGTGTTCACCTCATAGAGGAAAGGTCAGTAGGGATAATCCCCTGGGAGCCATGAATGTCTGAAAAAACAAATTCTATGGCAATCCATCAAGTAGGTGTTGAGATATTTCAGTCTGGACCAAAGAGGTGGACCGACCAACAGACCGAAATTGTCATCCTATGAGCCACGCCACCACTGAAGGAGGTGCAGCACAATAAGTTGTAGTTTAGAGCGTAACTGTGGTGGTTATTGTCTGAGGTGATGGTGATGCAGCAGCATCCAGTCATGTAGATAGCATCAGCCTCAATTGTTGTCGGTGACAGAAATCCCCCGGAGTGTTTAACGCACGTGGTTAAATGTCTCAAAGGAAAAGCAGCTTTTCATTTGTCTGCGTCCTCTGCTGCTGCTCAGGATGTTGCTGGATACATACACTGTAGCACGGCATGAGGCGGTGATTCACAACATTATATTACACTGCTCGCAGGTTCCCATTCAGTTAGAAACTCCATCCGATGATGTATTAGGCCGACAGACATCTTCATCAAACCGGTCATAATCCATCATTCGGAACACTGCAGTCTCCGCTTCGTGCTGAGAAATAATGCCTGTTTTTGGCGAGGGGAACTGTGTTTGAACCCTGATCCCTCAACTGTATTCTGTAAATCTTAAAAGAGCGGGAACATTATTATATTGTATTGCGGTGGAGACAGAACTATAATTAAGGATTTTGGTATTAATTGACTCCGTCTGTTCCAAGGGAAGAAATAGAAAATGTAAGCTTTTTATGTAGCGCAGAGAAAAAAAGAGAAAGTACAAAGTGAGATGCATGAAATCAAAAAGACACCCATCAATCATAATTTCAGCTCAGTATGTACACTGGCTGTAATCCTCTTGTGTCTGCAGTAGGCGTGCACCACGAAGTTGCCCTCCATCAGCCAGCAGAACGCATCACATTTTACTTTACTTTTAAATCACCCTGACTCGCCACATCTCCGGAGCAAATGGCTATGATTGATGGCTGGCTCCCAGACTAATAACCACGTGCTCTCGTCCCCACAGGTTTTCTGCATTATGGAGACATATCCAGGGCTGTCAGTAAAGCAGAGGCCCGGTCCCTGAGGACCATTATCGACGGAGCTGCCTGTGCGATCACACCGTCCGCCGTACTAGCACTGACAGGTGGCTTTCGCAGGTACACGACTCTCTCGCTCTGTTGGTACGGAACAGCACTTCCTGTCCTGCATTTATTCTTGTTTTCCGCAGTTGATGGGAATGGATATTAGAAACGTTTTAAGAGGTCTGCTTGAGTCCTCCTCCTTATGACTAACTACTGTCACACAGTCACAGTGTGTGGTTTAGAAGCATCAGAGCTGCTGGCGCTTCAGTGCATACGGCAGTTGCTATGAATCAGTAGATCAATTGAGTTGACGTGACAACACCGCACACGGTCGCCATCTCTTTGCTCGTAAAAACCCCCCAAAACAACAGACAGTCCCCGACATGGTATTGCATTTACATTAAGATGCTGAAATGCATTACATTGCCAATCTCAGAGTGCACGGTGAGTGCTCTTGTAAAGCTACCTACTGAGTGCAACTATTTGCTCACAGCCGGAGCCTCTGTCCACTGCCACCTCTTTGTGTTGCTCTTATTTTTTTATTTTTTTTTATGTGCCTGAGTAAGCGCAGAGCAATCTGCTCCGTGGTGTTGTAAAAATGCAGCCGTAACCAGTGGCGTGTGCGGTTAAATAATTCAAAAGCAGTCTGGCAGTGAGGACAGGCGCTTGCCTCTCAACAGGGGTGACAGAGCTGCCGCAGCTTAGCTGATGGACTTTAATAGTGCCCGCTACACACATAACATTTCTCTAAACATCTTGTGAAATTCCCTTCTTTTTCTCTATTTGCTGTATTCTAACATATTCCAGTTTGTCAAAGTTTGGCACGAAATGATCTTACACTGACTAAAGTGAGACAAAGTAACTCCTGCAAAACAGCGACCTCTGTGAATTAGCTTTCGCAAAAGCTAAAATGCTAAGCTATTGTAAGAGCAGTGGAGATGAGTCATAAGCTGTGTCTCCTTCCATTCTACATAGTAATTTAGTTTTCTACCGACAGCATATGCTGACCTTTATACTGTGTTTGGCAGTTAGTATACAAGAAACAGTAAAGTTGACTGTTTCATACTAACTGCTAAAGACTTGTGCCGAATGACGTCAAACTGAGACTGCGTATAATGCTGCATTCATTAACTTGGAGATCAAAAGTTGGAACAGGGAATGATGTCACACCCGACTTGACCTTATTCCTTAACAACAAGTCAAAGTTGGGGTTTAAAAAACACCCAGTCTATGTTTTGGTTTACTGGCCACCAACAGCTAGCTTAGTATAGCCACAGTGAGTGGCTACAGCGCTGCAGTTCCACCTTTACAGTGAAGCTGCCGTCCACACACCCTAAACAAAATGAAAAGGAGGCTTTTTTTGGGGGGGAATCGTCTATTGGACCAGACTGTAACAGCAAAGTAGCGAACAAGCTCGAGGTTACGGAGCGTTGTTGGTTACTCGTAATGTAATTGTTAAATTAGAATTTGTTGGGGCTCACAGTACTCTTTACTCACCACGTCTTAAGTGGTAGTGAATTACTGTCCAGCATAGTTTATGCAGGAATATTTACCTTAAGTTTACCTCTAGCTAACGTTATAGCCACCATATGCTACTGGTCATTCAAGACCAAGTAGGTAGGTAGCAGTGAAACCCCCTGGATCTAATGAAGGTGTGTTTTACTGCTTATGAAAAGTCATTTCTAAGAGGAATATTGTGTTTACTCAGAAGTTACTTGCTTTAAAACCTGGACCGTGGTGTATATTTGATTTGTCTCGGTGGCTATAGGTCTTCAGCTTTCTTAAGCAAAAATAGTATCAAACAAAACAAAAAAAACACCCAATATCTCTAATCTCCAAAATGATAAATGACAGCTGTAATGATATCTGATTATGTAAATAACTGTTCCTCAAGGGGATGATGTGGTAAAAGAGATGGGGAAAGCGATTAGAGCTTCATGTTAACATCAAGAATGAAAGGGAGGAACAGTGCAGGATTTATGGGCCAGGAGTCTGCTGCGAAGCATAAAGGGGCCTGTAAGGGAGCTTTTATGGCTTCAAACTCAGGGAGATGAGTTTACATCATCTCATACTTGGTGCAGGCTTGGGGAGAATTATGTGAGACCTAATTGGAATCACGCGGAGCTATAATTGAAGAATGATGACTTGTACATTATCAGTCGGGAAGTAAGTAATTTACTTTTATCTCGCCGAAAAGCAGAATCTCCAGACATGGCTTAAACACAGCGGGAGGTGCTATACGGCCTATTACGCCAAAATAGTTCATATGCTCTCTAAGATGCCAGCAGCACCACTAATAACCCACTAATTCTCTCCTGCATGACATATTTGAAAATGTTACCTTCTAAAATCCTGTCAAAGCTCGATTTAATTACCTCTAATTTCCAGCGTGATGTAGAGTCTCTTATTAGCTTCATCTTTCCAGCCGATAGCCCTTGTCAAAAGATGGAGTACACACACACACACCATATACCTCTTAGATGCACACGGCTCCGGCACATCTTTCATCTCTGGATAACGTACACAATGAAAATAACTCGGGTCCTGAAAAGTTCCACGAAATAAGCGCCGTGCTCCAGTAAACTCAAGCTGTCATCCACTTCAGAGGGACACAGCGTGGCGGGGATTTGTTGACGCCGCTGACATTAGCCTTATTGAAAGGACAGCTGTGGAAGGCGGGTGACAAGTCTTAAAGCGGTTTTGTTGGGGGGGGGGATTAAAAATAGATTAAGCTCGGAAATGCAGCTTCTGCCGCCACCGCGTGTGAAAGGCTCACACGGTGTCAGCGGAATGTGTGTGTTTATTTCGGCGTGAAGCCGGCAAGTCCCCGCAGTGGATCTTATTTAACATCAGATTGTCTGGAATACGACTCAAAGTGACACGGATGAGGGGTCCAATGGTGTCTGCTCTCACATCCTCAAACAGGGGCTGAGCGCCGCTGCATTGTTTCCCTCGAACAACAACCAAGATAAATAACCCTTATCAGTTCAGTTCGGAGCGCCATGATTTTTATAAACAACTCTATTATCAGCTTGTAGGGGGAAAGAGCAAAATGAGCTGTCCGATCGTGAGGTATACCACATTCGCTTTGCACTTTTTCTTATTTTTATGACGTCTTCCTGCTTATCACCTTGTTTTTCTGTGTTAGCAAGAATGTTAAAGGGACAGTTCACCCCAAATCAAAGTGCATGCTTCTCCCCTTACACATAGTGCTATTACTCAATCTAGATTGTTTTAGTGCGAGCTGCCTAGCTTTGGAGATATCGGCCAAGGAGATGTCTGCCTTCTCTCCAATGTAATGGGACTTTATGACACTCGGCTTGTGGTGCTCAAAGGTCACGATCTCTTTCCAGAAATCATGGCCCAGTTACTCAAGATAAGTAGGAACTATTTTTTTTCTACCGAACTACACCTGAAAGCGAATCTACTTGCGGACACACGGTTTGGTTGGCGGGTGTAGTTCGGAAGAAAGAAAATAGTTCCTCCATGAAACTGCTCACAGCAAGGGTTGTGGATTATCGTGAGGAACCGGGTAATGATTTCTGTAAAGACAAATTGCTGTAGAGTTTTCCAAATGTGTTTTTTTATTATATCAGAAAGAAGGCAGACATCTCTACGGCCGATACCTCCAACACTTGGCAACTCACACCAAAACAATCTAGAATGATAAATAGCACTACAGGTAAGAGGGGAAATATCAATTTTAAAATTCTGGGGTGAACTGTCTCTTTAAGAAAGCAAGTGCGATACGAGGTGAAACTTGTGTCATTTCCCTGACCAGACACTTTTGACTGCCGCTCAACTCTCCTCACTGCAAATAAATGCATCCTGTGAAATTTCCAGCAGCAGCAACACTTCGCACATCTCTATTATTTATACATGTCGCCGTGTCGTCCACACAAATTTGTATATAACCATGTATATTTTATGGGCTTTGTGCTGAAGGAATTCATAATTTAGCATTTCTCCTCACGCAATAAAATAGTAGGCTGGCTAAATTCAAGTGCTCTGCTCTTTTGTTGCACTTAATTTAGAGGAACACTGGCAGTGTTACTGTGCACAGTGTGCTAACAGCGCCATCAAAGCTAATACTTTCAGCCCAACCTTCCCAGCCAAATCACCCGCTGAGCAGGGGTGGATGCCCTCATGCTATATAAAAACAGTGTTCTGAAGGTGCACCATTAGAGGCAGGGAAGAAGAAAAACACCCGCTCTGCCGGAGAGAACGTGTCTAGTTTTCCGCTGACTGCGGTTGAATCTGCACAGACCCGACACATATTAATGCTCTGGTGCGATCAAGAAGGAGCAATGCTACGGCGTCTTCCCCTCAAATAAACCCCAATTCCCATGTTTCCCATGCCTTGATATTAAAAATCAGCTTGTTTTTAAGCTATGATTGGAAGTTTTTTAATTTCAATATTTTTTTTGCTATTCACGGCACACATTTATGCAGTGCACTCGAGTGAGTTTTGCCAGCGCAGCAGAGGCTAGCGGTGAGGTTTCACTTCACAACTTCAGCGCCCTGCACAAGCTGGAAGTGAAGCTCAGCCTTGCCAATTAAGTGTTGCAGGGTTCGGAGGAAAGTCGCTCCGTCAGCAGATGGAAATCTGTGATGCAGTCTCAAATAGCTGTGTCCTAGCAGTCAACTCATTAAGGAAGTGTCAACTTTTCACATAAAGGCCGACATAAATACCACTGAAACACAAGTGAGCACTCCCATGTCTGCTATTATTTGAGAAAACAAATGGATTACACAAATTAAACGACTGTGGCTGGAGCAGGATCTGCTGAGTGAACCTGCAAGCCAGCCACTCATCCTGTCAATGGTACACGCTCTCTGCCACTAACGCTAACCATTAACATTATCATGCCTTGTGGAGCTCTAATGGCTGTTTTCTAATACTTCCTTGCTCCCTGAATTAGCCGCGGTGACCTTTAGAAGCTTTCCCACACGCCATTCGCCGCCTCTTTTAGTGTCCCTCGCTCTCGCTGCCATCATTCATCTGTTAGAGGCGGCAAGGGCAGCTCAAACACGGAGCCGAGGCTTCTTTGCAGCCACATTGCCGTGCACCAACGTTCCTTGTCATTTCGTAATGGTCAGTTTGAAACGATGCCTTGAGCAGTTCACAGCCTGGCAGGGGGGAAACGTCCGTCATTTGTGGGGCAACTTCATCGCGCACTCGCGCTTTCACCCTTTCACCCTTTTCGACTGTCGAAAAAGCTTGTTGCCAACTGTTTTTGTAATTGTGATGACTGGTGGGTGACCGCAGTCGCAACTCCGGTACGGCATGGACCAATCTGGTGAACTGGCCGGAGCAGGATGGATGTTTCGCAAGAAGGAGAAATCCATAAACAGCAGGTGGAGTTGGAGTGGGCTTCAGTAATAGCACAACAAATCAGCTCCTCTCTAAAGACCTCCAAAGCACAAATATAGAAGTATAAATATGCTTTCAAGGACAATTGATATCCCATGTATAGGAAACGTTTAAACTCCTGTCAGAAATAGAATAGAAGTAAAGCGGACATTAAAATACAAAAGAAAATGACGATAGCTTTTAGTTGTTATGGACAACAAATGTCAGCTTCGGAGACGGGTGGCTCTACAGTTACACCACAGTATGAGAGTGCAACAAGGTAGCATAGATGAACAGAGCACCACCTCCAGACCTTATAAGCCCGCAGCCTCCCGACATGACTGTGGCTAAAAACATACTTATGTGACTTTCGGAATATGATTTTAATAACCACCCAATGTTTACATTTCCCTCTGCCTCATAAACTCTGATAGTGTTGTCCTCTAAGAAGTCACAACATGAATTTAAAAGAGATCAACAAATCTCAACCCTGATACCATAAACCAGCTTAAATCGATCCACTGCGAGTGAACGGGCTGCTGAAATAGTTAGACATCAATCATCTCAAGCTGCACCACTCTCCCGAATAACACTAGTGAAAACTATATGTCACTGATTCAGTACGTTGATTTCAGACAGAAGCTTTGATATGCCGTTTATGTATGATCTTATGCACATGCGGGGGTTCTCTGCTTTTCATTGCATCTGTTCCTGCCTGATAATCACTTAATAATCACTTCCACTCCGGTCTAGTTGTGCTGACGGAGTAAATGCATTGTGTGAGCGCAGCCAGGCTCCACATGGGTCTGTTTTATGACACTGATCCAAGCAGAAGATGATGATTCTCATAAAAGTTAAAGCTCTGACAGCTGAGGCAACAAAAAAAGGAGCTTTTTACACTTAACAATTTAAGAGGAATTACTTGTTGGAATAATAATGTAAAAAAAAATAAATAGAGAAAGTCAATGCCATTAGTATGGCCTGTGCTTTTAATAGCTCCGCCTGCCACCTTCACTTTTCATCAGTTAAGGGCTGTGACTAAAAGATAATTTTTTTTCATTATCTCCTGCACACAGTGAATGAGTAACGGCGCCATGTCTTTATCTCCAGGGGGAAGGAGTTTGGTCATGATGTAGACTTTATCGTGACCACAACTGAGCTGGGGATGGAGGAGACTTTGCTACTCAAAATTGTTGATGGACTGAAAAAGAAAGTAAGTATGTCATTTCCTTTTTTTTTTTTTTTTTTGCAATTAAGGAAAGTAATGAGGTTGATCATCCTTTGTGATTGAAATGAATAGAATGAAAATAAAATCTAATTGGTAGGCACTACTGGTTTAAATCCAAATCACTGAACTAAAACAACTGCTGTACGGATGAGGTAAAAAGGACAACCTTATAGAATGAACGGAGCACTTCATTAGGAGGATCTAGCCAGCAGAGCTAACGCTAGCTTGCTAATACGGGACCCATTTGAATTGAAGAGTAAAGTAGGTAATATGCAGGACAGTCAGTATGTTCAACAGTGATGTAAAGTGGGAAGATCTTTACATACATTTCACCAAAACACATTACACCCCCATGCGACCGTGGTGTGGTTCGTTTATAGACTAGCGTTAGCTTTGTACTTCTGCCGATTGCATTCACGCTTCAAAAATCAGAAATCATGTTCATTTGTGAAGATTATCTTGCTGAACAAAACGTGTCATAAACATTTGTTTGCACCGGATCTTATTTTCTACAATAATGCATGTTGTGTTTTTGTTGAGGGAACCAGTGCGATGCTAACTTAGAAGGTTGGCCTACAAAAATGCGTCATCCCTGTAGCAGTCTATTCCCCATTGAAATGGAATAGTTGTAATACAGTTACAGGAGGGATTTAAAGCAAATCCTTCGCATTTGATTGGACTGCTACAAAGTGGGCGGGCTCAGAATGCAGCGTGATATGGCACTAAATAAAGGGAACCAACAACCAACAGGGACCTGGGGACTTACACCCCGGGAAATATAAACTTAACGACCCTAATATATGGTGTCGAATTTGTTAAGAGCACACAGATTCGTTACAGATATTTGGACAGAGACGTCTTTTCGTAAAAATGACCATAATATTTATTAAAAGGAATCAATGAAAATGATCAAAACAGCCAAAACATTCGGTATGTTTCGATAACAAGGCATCGAACGGGGGTTGGTCACTTTTCCATCATTCAGACCCGTCCTTTGAGACCTACAGCAGCCTTTCAATGAAAGTTAGAGAGTAAAGTGGTCCGAGGTTCTGATTTAGTTGCCTTTAATGGAAGGAGATTGGGGAAAGGTAAATGAATCAGGTAAAAGAGAAACGCTACAATTTAGCAAGTCACTTTAAGAACTTTTAGCTGGGCTTTTCAAGGACCACCGGCCGCTCTCAAGGCCCCTTAATGGAACACGGATCCCTCAGTCAAGAAAGGAGGAGAGAAAAGGAGAGGGTGGATGTGGAGGAGAGACGGACAGATGGCGTCTGACTAAAGCAGAGGGAAAGCGAGAGCAGTGAGAAAATGTCTGAGTGAGAGACGACACACACGGAGTGGTCGACAATGTTAAAGGCAGCTTATGTTTACTTGCACGTAATGGTTTAATTTTTGGCTGCACTCAAATGATGACAGTTATTTGCTGCTAATATCGCAGTAATGGGACAAATATCAGCGCGCTCCAGAAGTGTCCGATTAAAACTCAACGCATGTCAACACATTTACCTAATTACACTAAACCGAGGTCTTAATCACAATTGTGCAAACAGGAGTCCGGCATGTTCATTTTTAACCCCCACCGCATTTCACCTCGTCCAGCTTTCTGGTCTCTGCAAGATGAGACGAGAACGGAAATTTCAATATCAGCACCGTTTGCATTTAAATGAAAGGGAAAAACCTGAAGATTACAAAAAAGATTTGTTGTGTGCAAGAGGAGGAAAAAGCAGAGACACTTTAATGTAAACTTTAAACATCGATTGGATGTGCAGTTAGGTAACTGGCAAGCATGAATCAGAAGTAAAGAATTCAATCTTTTGACTAAAATAGAACATGTTAAGTGGTTGTTTTTCATCCATAATGACCCGCGCCGTTTGAGATTCTTGAAGATCAGCAGACTTGAAAGCAGTAATTCTGTTTCTCTCGTGCCCCCTTTGAAGCTGAAGTAGATTCATACCATTCGATAAACATGTTCATCACATCTCATTTAACCCGTAACAGGTTTGAGGAAACTATCCAAAGGAGCCAAGTGTCTAAAAGGATCAAATAATGGATGTGAAATGCAACGTGATTGGTCGACAGAGGCATCCAAAAGGCGCTTCTGCTGTATTTCTCTATTGATTGTTTAACTTATCATTACAATTGGTTATCTGAAACTGCGTCGACACAAAGCAGCGCTGTTTTACAGACACAACGTGTTCACAGGTCAGTGAGGTGACATTGACGCATTCCTCCTGTGTACACTGGCCATGAAGCATGAAGGGAGCGATTTTACTCTATAAAAACAACAACAACAACCTCTCATCATGGTTACTTCATTGTAAAATCAGCAGTTGTATAATCCTGTCTCATAGTATTATAAACCACTCTGCAGTTTTTTGACTTCTAGCCAGCCTTCAGTCTCATTCCTCTGTAACTCTTAACTGGACCTTTCTGGATCGTCTTTTATCGTCCCCCGCCAGTACCCGAAGCGGCACGTGCCCAAGCAACTCATTGGCATCTTAACAGCCATATAGATTCAAACAGAAGCAGTTCAGTTGTACGGTCACCTGAAAAAACGCTGTTTGTCTAGTCTCAGCTTTTTTTCCTCCTTTTTTGTTGTTGTCATCAACCGGATTTAAAAATAAATCCTTCCATCCGTCCACACCTCTTCCATCCGTCCACACTCCTTCCGCGGTCCATCCCTGACGATAATTACCGCCCACTCGCCGCCGGGCCGCTCTCGCCTCTTGCAGCCGCTCGATGTTCATTGTAGGTGAGCGGGGATGAGGGCGGATGTGCAGGGGGACAAGGAGGAGGTAGGATGGATGGGAGGCAGGTGTTTCTGAAAAGGCTTCAAGATACGACCCTGCAGGCTGGATGGAGTGCAGGGGTGCAGACGGGGGGGGGGGGGGGGGGGGGGGGGGGGGGGGGCAGGTCTGCGGGGGACGAGGACACAAGAGACAATGATTAACTGGCGGTCGCTAGAGGTTGACTCTAAGTCGCGTAACCTTGTCATCTGCAATCAAGCCCCCTGGTGTCTTCACTCAGGCCTAATATCACAGGCAGTCCCCCCC